CATAGTATTCTGTGTACTTAAGGGCATTGCAACGAAGCTTTTTTGTTTCGTTTCTATCAACAGGTTGTACAGTAAGTATATTTAAATTTAAAATTCAGGCAAACATTCAAATGAAAAAAAGTTGAACATTTCTATACAGAGTTACTTCATATATCTATCAAATTTAGAGCTCTGTAATTCGATAGTCATCATCAGTCAATTAGATTAGGGTGAAAAATCTTGCCGACAATGCTTATCTATAAACTTATTTCAGTTATTAGTGTTAAGAAAAGTCAATAAAAAATTAATAAAGTATGAATGTGACTTTTCAAGTGTTTGCTTTTTTTCATAAAAAGCAGATAGTAACTTAAATAAACATTTGAGGGTGTGGGTGGGTGTGGGTGCCGATGCCAATACGTATCACTCTGTCACACCCACCCTAATCTGAATATTTTAATAATTGGAATAATTAGCTTCAATCTTAAACATTCATGTTTATGTTCAAAATAATTATCGATCAAAAAATGAAATTTTGCAAAAAATTTAAAAAAAAACAACTAGACTAAATTAATATTTTTGAAAAATATGAGTTAATACATCAAGGTGAACTGGAATCATTTCGCCATCAAATTTTTATCAGAGAGAAAGCTCGAAAAATTGTGATTGAAAGCATCAACTCAAGCTCACTTAACTAAAATAAGAATTGAGTTACAAGTCAAACACATTAATCACAACTTGGTTCCATTCAGTCTTCATTGTGACAAGATTTCGTGATGATCTGACTCTAAACATTAGCAGGTCTTCAAGGAAAAGAATCGATTCTTTCATAGCTCCTAGACAGCTTGAGGATTGAGCTCAAAGATACAAAACCTGATAGATTTATTGTTCTTATATTGAAATCATTTTCAAATAATTCAAAACTGATGAATACGTTAAATGTTCACACGACTGTTCATTTTTCATCATTTGTCGAATTTGTGTTGAACTAATTTGATTCAATCCTTCTGTTTGATTATCAGGACTATCGTCTCGAACATAGTATAATTTTTCTGAAGTAAGAGAATGCATTGATTTGATAAGATCTTCTTGTTCACCAGATCGATAAACAACAGCAATACCATTCCAGGGTGACTGTTGCATCCCTTTCATACCATGGCAATCATTGAATAGATCTAGACCAGCAACATAAATGACACGAATAGGCCTTTCTAACTTGACCATTTCATTGATGAACATTTGTAGACTAAGTGTCACTTTTAACAAGGAAATGAGTTGGGGAGCTAAATAAACATCAAACAAATGTCATTCAATCGGAGTTAAAAAAAACTTTTCGTACCCATAATCTCAGCTTTATCAACACTGAGCCAGTATTGTTGATTTGCTTCTTTTATAGCTTCTTCACACATTCGAATTCGATGATGTCCACTAATAAATTCCTCGTCTAATTTAGCTTGAACATATTGATCATGGCTAGGCGATAGATAACCACCAATGACACGAAAACCATGTACACATTCTAAATATTCTTTTGTTTTGATCATATTGGAAATATGAGCACGATGAATAGGATTGAAAGCACCTGTTTTGATTAAAACGACATTTTCATTATTCGTACTAGTAGTTTCATTTAAATTTTCATAAAGAATCGAAAGATCTGTCGTTAATGTCGAATGCATATGTTGATTAACGATGATGAAAGTTGTTTGTTATTCAGACATTGCCACTATTAAAACTGTCGCACACACGCTAGAATTTATTTATAACGTGATAGAAGAATTTGTTCGTTCTTTTGCATGACACATTATTTACATAGATGATGACTCAGTGTGGGAAAAAAATTACGAACAAATGTGGGCGTGGTGGCAAATCAGCAAACAGGACTTGAGCGAAAAGTTTTCAGCAAAAAAAAGCACCGAAAGGTTTTTGAAGGTGCGGGTAGGGCCGAGAATGTCGAGATGAGGATGATGATCTTTCGCAGAGGTACATTTCACGCATTTTCTTCGTTGAAAAGTCGTTCTCTTAAATGTTTTTCGCTGAATGGACATCATATCCGCTTGTGATCTAAAATCGGAAATGTCGCAATACCAACACTTTTGAGTTTTGGTCCTTCTGTTGAGTTATGATAGTGATCAAGATGTATATCTACCTAAGTTCTGGATAAAAGTCTAGTAGCTAGGCAAAATTCATTGATATAAGGATTGTTTACTTTGTAATGGCTACCATAAGAATAATACAGTGCACCCTATTGGCAAGCAAAAGCTTGCATTCTATCATTTTATCTAGGCTAACATATAAGACCAATATCAAAGATTTTGCCTATTATGTTATCTCGAGCTGCAAAAAAAGAAAATAATCTGTTTCGAGTCATTATTGAAGAGCTGGTCTCTTCTTCTCTCTGCAGTAAACTTTCCATTATAAATGGTAAAGTCTCATTTATATAATTTACAAGATAATATGATTATAACGCCAGGCCCGGACGAAGAACACGATTAGTTAAACATATCTCTAATTATGATCTGTTTTTCTGTTTGTATTACAAGATATTAGTATGACAATAATAGATGGATTGATGACATACAAAAACATCACTTGAAAACTGACACAATTAAGGGTGTCATATGGCCTTGGATTTGAGTGTCGATTCCAGTTCAAGTAAGATTTTTCTTTTACTCTGTATAACATGAACAGACTATCTTAAGAATCATGTATTACACTAAATACATCATTCTGATTTCATCAAAATCAACGAAAACAGAGTGTGAATGAGTGATTATAGGTTTGGATATGGGTGAGAAACGAATACAAAGCAATCTGACACCCTTCACTCAGCATGCTCATTCTTTACAATAAATATTTGAGAAATAAATACTTCAATGGGACTCAGAATTTCCGTTTTAAACGCTATTTATCATACTTCATGAAACGAAGACACAACCGTTTCGGTGTAGCTTCGTATTAGCCCGACATTGGCTTTTAATCCACTAGACAACACTGTCTTAATGAAAGTCTATGTCAACATAAGAACTAAAAAACAACAAAGCTTTCATACCTCTGCTAAACTAAGTTCCTTGATTTCACCTAAAAAGAAATTTAGGATTATGCAAGACGGCCATTGTCCTCTCATTGGACAATTTGGAAATCTTTTAAAACTAAATCCACACCGTCGAAGAGTTAGATGCGATGTAATTACTAGTTTCTGTTCGCGATGCAAATCAGCACCTCTTTTCTTGTCTAACTATTCTTTTTATGTATGAAATGGTAAAAAAAGATTCACAATGGAAAAATGTTAAAGTACACACCAATCAGTAACCGCTTTACTATGCATGTTCACTTGACAGAGTCGTTGTGTGTGAATTTTTCTTTGCCTTCTTCCTCTGCCTTCTCTTTGAGCGAATAATTCGCACCTGGGTGTGGGTGTAGAACAAGAGAAGTGCCACGCCCACCCACCAACACCCCACACCCTCGAGGGTGAGGCACATACAAAAAGCCGAGACTGTGGGTGTAAGTGTGAGTGTATTCCTTTCATTTCTATCCACATCTATATTGCCCAAAACGAACTACCTCTCAAATAAAAAAATTTCACTCATGAAATAATCATGTAGAATCGAAATGTACATAATGTTTTTGAAAAATTCATTATGCAACAAGACTCGAACAGGCACACTTATATGTTCAACCTTCGATTTTAAAATAATCAACTACGTCGAATTAAAAACAATAGTTTATTGTCATTTTCAAATAAAAATACGCAAAAAAAACAGAAAATCATACATTCAACAAGCAATTTCAGTTGTCCATTAAAATCATTTTTCAAATCAATTTTTATGGTTTCGTTCTTTTTTCATTCCGTTCAATCAATTTCTTCAAACGAGCTTGAAGTTTGTTTCCGATTTGATTGTGGTAGACATTGAGTCTGGTGAGTGTCTGTGTGAAAAGTGCAAATGAGGATATGAGAGAGATGAAGAGAAAATGGGGGTCACTGTGATATTTTGTAATGTATCAGCTAGATATTGTCCTCCGAAAGGTCCGATTTCATTCTCGTATAGATATAGTGTCGCGAGTGTCTATGTGAAAATATGTAAATGGAAATATGAGAGACATGAAGAGAGGATGAAGGTCACCGTGTTATTTCGTAATGCATCAGCAAGATGTTGTGCTCCTATATCTCCGATTTGATTTTCGGAGAGATATAGTGTGGTGAGTGTCTGTGTGAAAAAGTGCAGATAGAAATATGAGAGAGGTCAAAAGAGTATGAGGATCACTGTGTTATTTCGTAAAGCATCAGCCAGATGTTGTGAACCGAGAGGTCCGATTTGATTGTCTTCGAGATTTAGTGTTGTGAGTGTCTGTGTGGAAAAGTGCAAATGAGAATATCAGATAGATGAAGAGAGAATGAGGGTAACCGTGTTATTTCGTAATGCATCAGCAAGATGTTGTGCTCCGAAAGGTCCGATTTGATTGTCTCCGAGTTTTAGTGCGGTAAGAGTCTACATGAAAAGTGCAGATGAGGATATGAGAGAGATGGAGAAAGAAGGAAGCTTACCGTGTTATTTCGTAATGCATCAGCAAGATGCTGTGCTCCTTTGTCTCCGATTTGATTGCCTCCCAAACTATCGCCAAAATCTAGTGTGGTCAGTGTCTATGTGAAAAAGTGGAAATGGAGATATGAGAAAGATGGAGAGAATAAAGGTCACCGTGTTATTTCGTAGTGCATCAGCAAGATGTTGTGCTCCTTTGTCTCCGACTTCATTTCCCGAGAGATATAATGTCGTAAGTGCCTGTGTGAAAAGCACAGATGGAAATATGAGAGAGGTCAAAAGAGTGTGAGGGTCACAGTGTTATTTCGTAATGCATCAGCCAGATGTTGTGCTCCCTCATCTCCGATTCCATATTCTGAGAGATCCAGTGTAGTGAATGTCTGTGGAAAAGTGCAGAGGGATATGAAGAGATATAAGTGAATAATATATAGCGCTCTCTATGTTGTTTATTATTTGATTGGTTGTATAGGAATCATAAAGAATGAGAACCATAAAGAAACAAAGAGCCATTGGTTTAAAAACTATTTTAGCTCCCCCTCAATAAAAGTCACTTTTCGTCAGATTTGTCAAAATTGAGATAGATGTAGACGAAGGTAGCCCATGATCTGACCTTTGATAAGCGATAACAATTTTACTCGACACATCATTTTCTCCAAAAGTTCTTGAGGATTTCCGTTACGTTCTATTCGAAAAATAAGCCGTTTTTGGAAAAATCTGAAAATGTTTTTCGTTTTTTCTCACTTTATGCTTTTTTGTAAGTGCACGAAAGATATCCCCTATCAATTAAGATAAATTCTTATCAATATATATTTTAATACTTTTCTAGACAGAAAAGGTTGAAATATTTATCACGAACATGGAATTTTCATAAGTCGTGATTACTTGCGTTAGTCATTCGAATGACATATTAAATGTATAGTATATTGATTTGTAATACAAAAACAAAAAAATAAAACATGAGAAAATGAAAAGAATTTTTCGAAATAGATCTGATTATAATAAAAATCATTTTTCCTAATAATCTATAAGATCTACTTGAATACATATATAATTAACATTGACAATTTTGAGAAATAAATAGTATGAACATACCTATACAAGCATGTATCAGAACTTAGAACATATACCACCACTTGATTTGTCTCACTCAACATTTTCCATGATTCTAGTCTTATGGCTTAGAAAATTCTTGCAGAGCTCACCCTTCATGTATAGATACAAAATCTAAATGAGTGATCTTGAATTGGTATTTCCTCAAGAGTAACTTTGATGGCATCAAACTTTATGATTGACAGAAATTATCGGTACTATTTTTAGTAATGATCTCAGGATTGCCAGATTTTTTGATATGGCAGGAAAAGTTCTAATTTTTGAGCTTTTCTCTGATTTTCGGGATTTTTTTCTATTTCAAGCTTTTAAACTATCAAACTAAGGTTTAAATGTAACTGACTGATGCATGTACAATGATCCTCTTTCTTTGTCTGTAATCATGGAATGAGTCTTTCTAATAAAGCTATTAACAGACATTTGAGTGTACTGGTCAAGGTTGTCAGCTTCGCAGATATAGCATGAAAACTGCGAGTTTCATATTAATTTGCGATCGCTTTCTGATTTTCTCGATTTGTTGACGTGTTGGTGAATTTGTTCGATTTTGGAATCAATTAGCACTGATTGAATTGAAAAAACAAAAAAATTCATTACTTTAATGAATTTTGTGTTAAAAACATGAAAAAA